GAAGTTCCAGCTGTGACGAAAGTGCTGCAGAGTTACTAGAGAAAGAGAGAGCTGGAATTCCAAGAACAGAAAAGGACTGCTTCTCCTCCTTGGACTGATATAAAGGGAGGTGGGGGGAGAAGTATCTTCTGTAAATACATAATACCTTTTACTTAAGTAAAATTATTGTAGATATAATTCTTTAGTTTTAGTTTGATAATAATAATAAATACTCATACTTTTTTTTTTTTTTTCAATTCAGTCTCTTTTTGTCTGCATAAACCTTCTCTCAACTGATAGTAATTGTATGGGTGGTATAAAAGTAAATTGAGCCAGGGCAAAACCACGACAGGTGGGTATAATGTGGGAATAATGTGGGAACAATGTGGGAATAATGTGGGGAAGAATGGGGGAAGAATGGGGGAAGAATGGGGGAATAATGGGGGAATAATGGGGGAATAATGGGGGAGCTTTGGATCCCCCATGCCCAGTTTGGATCCCAAATTCCATAGTTTTTATCCCAAATTCCCAGTTTTATTCCCAGGAGAGTTGGATCCTGAGCGGATGGGGGAGGTTTGGATCCCAAATTGATCTCAAATTCCCAGTTTTCCATGTTTTATTTCCTGGGACAGCTGGATCCTGAGCGGATGGGAGAGGTTTTGGGATCCCAAATTCCCAGTTTTCCATGGTTTTTCCCTGTTTTTATTCCCAGGAGAGCTGGATCCTGAGTGCATGGGGGAGGTTTTGGATCCCAAATTCCCAGTTTTGATCCCAAATTCCCAGTTTTCCATGGTTTTTCCCTGTTTTTATTCCAGGAGAGCTGGATCCTGAGTGGATGGGGGAGGTTTTGGGATCCCAAATTCCCAATGTTGATCCCAAATTCCCTGTTTTTTCCAGGAGAACTGGATCCCGAGCGGATGGGCTCCAGGATCCAATACGGGGACTCCTCCATGTGGCAGCTCCGGCAGCCCCGGGGGGGAAACCTCGCCCAGCCCCAACCACCCTGCGGGTGCTGAGACCCCAAACGGACCCAAAACAGGTGAGAAACCCCCTGAAAATGAGATATCCTAAAAACAGACCCCAAAACCGGCCCCCAAAACGGACCCCAAACTGGTGAGACCCCAAATAGACCCCAAAACTGAGCCCAAACAGGTGAAACCCCCCCTAAAAATGAGATACCCTAAAAACTGAGACCCCAAAACTGAGCCCAGACAGGTGAGAAACCCCCTAAAAATGAGATATCCTAAAAACTGACCCCAAAACTGACCCCAAAACGGAGCCCAGACAGGTGAGAAACCCCCTAAAAATGAGATACCCTAAAAACTGAGACCCCAAAACTGACCCCAAAACTGACCCCAAAACAGAGCCCAAAACAGGTGAGAAACCCCCAAAAATGAGACCCCAAAACAGACCCCAAAACGGAGACCCCAAAACGGACCCCAAACAGGTGAGAACCCCAAAACTGACCCCAAAACAGAGCCCAAAACAGGTGAGAACCCCCCTAAAATTGAGATATCCTAAAACTGAGACCCCAAAACGGAGCCCAGACAGGTGAGAAACCCCCCAAGAATGAGATATCCTAAAAACTGAGACCCCAAAACGGAGCCAAAACAGGTGAGAACCCCCCTGAAAATGAGATATCCTAAAAACTGAGACCCCAAAACAGAGCCAAAACAGGTGAGACCTCAAAACAGACCCCAAAACAGGTGAGAAACCCCCTGAAAATGAGATACCCTAAAAACTGAGACCCAAAACTGAGCCCAAAACAGGTGAGAACCCCCCTAAAAATGAGATATCCTAAAAACAGAGACCCCAAAACAGAGCCCAGACAGGTGAGAGACCCCCTAAAAATGAGATACCCTAAAAACTGAGACCCCAAAACAGTACCCAAAACAGGTGAGAAATCCCCTAAAAATGAGATACCCTAAAAACTGACCCCAAAACAGACCCCAAAACAGGTGAGAACCCCCCTAAAAATGAGATATCCTAAAAACTGAGATACCCTAAAAATGAGATACCCTAAAAACTGACCCCAAACTGACCCCAAAACAGGTGAGAAACCCCCTAAAAATGAGATATCCTAAAAACAGACCCCAAAACTGAGCCCAAAACAGAGCCCAGACAGGTGAGAACCCCTGAAAATGAGATACCCTAAAAACAGACCCCAAAACTGACCCCAAACGGAGACAAAACAGGTGAGAAACCCCCTAAAAATGAGATATCCTAAAAAATGACCCCAAAACTGAGCCCAAAACGGACCCAAAACAGGTGAGAAACCCCTAAAAATGAGATATCCTAAAAACAGACCCCAAAACAGAGCCCAGACAGGTGAGAAACCCCCTAAAAATGAGATATCCTAAAACCTGACCCCAAAACGGACCCCAAAACTGAGCCCAAAACGGAGCTCAAAACAGGTGAGAACCCAAAAATGAGATATCCTAAAAACAGACCCCAAAACTGACCCCAAAACTGACCCCAAAACTGTGCCCAAAACGGACCCAAAACAGAGCCCAAAACTGAGCCCAAACAGGTGAGACCCCAAAAAATGAGATATCCTAAAAATTGAGACCCCAAAAGAGACCCCAAAACTGAGCCCAGACAGGTGAGAAACCCCCTAAAATTGAGATATCCTAAAAACTGAGAACCCCAAACGGAGCCCAGACAGGTGAGAAACCCCCAAAAATTGAGATATCCTAAAAACTGACCCCAAACTGACCCCAAAACGGAGCCAAAACAGGTGAGAAACCCCCTGAAAATGAGATACTCTAAAAACTGAGACCCCCCAAACTGAGCCCAGACAGGTGAGACCCCAAAACTGACCCCAAAACTGACCCAAAACAGGTGAGAAACCCCCTAAAAATGAGATATCCTAAAAACAGAGACTCCAAAAAGGAGCCCAGACAGGTGAGAAACCCCCTAAAAATGAGATACCCTAAAAACTGAGACCCCAGAACGAACCCAAAACAGGTGAGAAACCCCCCAAAAATGAGATATCCTAAAAACTGAGACCCCAAAACGGAGCCAAAACAGGTGAGAACCCCCCTGAAAATGAGATACCCTAAAAACAGACCCCAAAACTGACCCCAAACAGGGGAGACCCCAAAACTGACCCCAAAACTGAGCCCAAAACAGGTGAGACCCCCAAAAAAAAACTGAGACCCCCAAAAACTGAGACCCCCCCCAAGTGAGAAACCCCCCAAAAATTAAGAAACCCCCCCAAAAAATCCCCCCCAAAATCCCCCCTGACCCCCCTTTTTGTTTTGTTTTGCAGGTGCTGCTGCCTCGTTCTGGACCCCCCCAAAAAAAATCTCCCTCTGGAATTTTGGGGGGAGGGGTCTCTGTGCCCCCCCCAACAACAATTTTGGGTTGAATTCCCCTCATTTTGGGCAAAAAAAAAAAAACGAAGGGAAGGGGGAGGGTCCCAAATTTTTTAGGGCTCCTCCCCCCCCAAATTTTGAGGTTTTTCCTCCAATTTTATTTTTATTTTTATTTTTATTTTTATTTTTCCCTGAATTTTTGGGGATTTCCCCCCCAGTTTTGAGGTTTTTTCCCCAAAAAATTTGGTTTTTTTTTCTCTAAATTTGGGAATTTTGACCCAATTTGGGTTTTTTTTTTCCTCCTAGTTTTGGTTTTCCCCCCCCCCACCCCTAAATTTGGGATTTTTCCCCTAAATTTGGGGGAATTTCCCTCAATTTTTGGCATTTCCCCCCTAAATTTGGGATTTTTCCCCTAAATTTGGGGGGTTTTCCCTCAATTTTTGGGAATTCCCCCTTCAATTTTTGGGGATTTCCCCCCCCAGCTTTTGGGATTTTTTTCCCCCACATTTTGGGATTTTTCCCCCAAATTTGGGGATTTTTCCCCCAAATTTTGGGATTTTTTTCCCCCAAATTTTGAGGACTCTTCCCCCAATTTTGGGGTTCCCCCCTCCCCAAATTTCCCCTTTTTTGGTCTTTTTTTTTATTTTCCATTATTTAAAGCCCTCTGTTATTTTTTTTTTGTGTGGCTTTCACATCCACCCCCCTCTCCCCCCCCTTTAATTTTGGGGGGGTCTCCCCCCCTTCCCCCCCGAAAAAAAATCCCCAATTTTGGGGGTTCCCTCCCTCCCAAATTTCCGTCCCAGTGCCCCCAAACTGGGGGGAAATCGTGGTTTTTTGCCTTTTTTTTTTTAATTTTTTTTCTTTATTTATTGCACTTTTATTTTGGGGGGTCAGGTTTGGGGGGTCGGAGGGGTTGTTTTGCTTCAAAAACGGTGAAAAAAGGCCAATTTGCCCCTCCAACAACAAAAACCTCGAAAAACAATTAAAAATTCTTGTTTTCAACTCGGGGGATTTTTTTGGGGGGAGAGGAGGGGATTTTGGGGGGTGGTCCTGAATTTTTGGGGGGATTTTTGGGGAGGAGGGATTTGGAGACCCCTGAGGGGGAGAGGGGATATGGGAGGGGTTTGGGGACCCCCAAGGTGTGGGTGGGGATTTGGGGACCCCCAAGAAGGGGGGATTTGGGAGGGTTTGGGGCCCCAAGGTGGGAGGGGATTTGGGGGGTTTGGGACCCCTCCAAGGTGGGGAGGGGGATTGGGGGTCGGGATTGGGGGATTTTGGGGAGGGGGATTTGGAGACCCTCCAAGGTGGGGAGGGGGATTTGGGGGTTTGGGGACCCCCAAGGTGGGGGGGATTTGGGGACCCCCAAGGTGGGGGTGGGGATTTGGGGGTCGCAGTGATGGGGAGGGGTCCTGGGGGTCCTGGATTTTTTTGGGGAGGGCATTTCCTGATCACATGGGAGGGGTCCGGTTTTGGGGGGTCCTGGGGTGGTCCCGGTTTTTGGGGGGTTGCAGTGATGGGGAGGGGTCCGGGGATGGTCCTGTTTTTTTTTTTTGGGGGCATTTCCTGATCCCATGGGAGGTGTCCCGGTTTCTGGGGGTCGCAGTGATGGGGAGGGGTCCGGGGGGGTGTTCCCAGTTCCAGGGTGGTTCCCAGTTCCGGGGAATTCCCGGTCCAGGGGGTTTCCTGCAGGGAGTTCCCGGGGGTTCCCAGGAGGGGGTGGGGGTCTCATCGCGGCTCCACGCGCAGCTGGAAGGGGGGGATGTTGCCGAAGCCGCTCTCCAGGGGGGTCGTGGACACCTCCTCGGGGCGTCCCAGCGGGAGCGGCCGCAGCCGCTGCAGGAGCGTCGTGAGGAACAGGAACAGCTCCATCCGCGCCAGCCCCTCCCCCAGGCACAGCCACTTCCCTGGAGGGGGGCAGAGACCCCAAATCAGCCCAAAAACATCCCCAAAATATCCCCAAAATATCCACAAAAACATCCTCAAAATATCCCCAAAAACATACCCAAAATATCCCAAAAATATCCCCAAAACATCCATAAAAACATCCCCAAAATATCCCCCAAAACATCCCCAAAACATCCCCCAAACATCCCCAAAAACATCCACAAAATATTCCCAAAACATCCCCAAAATATCCCCAAAATATTCACAAAATATCCCAGCCCCTCCCCCAGGCACAGTCGCTTCCCTGGGGGGGGGCAGAGACCCCAAATCATCCCAAAATATCCAAAATATCCACAAAATATCCACAAAAACATCCCCAAAATATCCACAAAAAATCCACAAAATATCCCCAAAAACATACCCAAAATATCCACAAAATATCCCCAAAAACATCCCCGAAACATACCAAAAAACATCCCAAAAACACCCCAAAATATCCCCAAAATATTACCAAAACATCCCCAAAAACACACCCAAAACTGCCCCAAAAAATCCCCAAAATATCCCCAAAACATCCCCAAAATACACCCCCAAAGACATCCCAAAAACAACCCCAAAAAACATCCCCAAAACATCCCCAAAAAACATTCCCAAAACATCCCCAAAACATCCCAAAAAATCCCCAAAACATCCCAAAAACATCCCCAAAACATCCCAAAAACATCCCCAAAATATCCCCAAAACATCCCCAAAACATCCCCAAAACATCCCAAAACATCCCCAAAAATATCCCCAAAACATCCCCAAAAATATCCCCAAAACATCCACAAAACATCCACAAAAATATCCCCAAAACATCCACAAAAATACCCCCAAAACATCCCCAAAACATCTGAAAAAACACCCCCAAAAAACCCTCCAAAAATAACCCCCAAAAAATCCCCAAAACATCCCCAAAAACACCCCCAAAAACATCCCAAAAACAACCCAAAACATACCCAAAAACATCCCCTAAAGGGTCAGGGGGTCCCTAAAAGGGTCTGGGGGTCCCTAAAAGGGTCGGGGAGGTCCCTAAAAGGGTCTGGGGGTCTCTAAAGGGTTTTTGGGATCCCTAAAAGGGTCTGGGGTCCCCGTTTACCCAAGGAGAAGGGCATGAAGGCCTCGTTCCTCTGGGTGTCCCTAAAAGGGTCTGGGGGGTCCCAAAATGATCTGGGGGTCTCTAAAGGTTTTTGGGGTCTCTTAATGATCTGGGGGTCTCTAAAGGATCCGGGGGGTCTCTAAAGGGTCAGGGGGTCCCAAAAGGGTCTGAGGGTCCCAGTTTACCCAAGGAGAAGGGCATGAAGGCCCCGTTCCTCTGGGGGTTCCTAAAAGGTTTTTGGGGTCCCTAAAGGGTTTTTGGGGTCCCTAAAAGGGTCTGGGGGGTCCTATAAGGTTTTTGGGGTCCCCAAAAGGGTCTAGGGTCCCGGTTTACCCAAGGAGAAGGGCACGAAGGCCTCGTTCCTCTGGAACTGCCCCCGCTCGTCCAGGAAGTTGCGGGGGTCGAACTCGTGGGGGCTCCGGAAAGAGGAGGGGTCGTGGAGCACCGAGCTCAGCAGGGGGTACACGTCCAGACCCTGGGGGGGCACGGGGGGGAGGGGTTTAGGGTGGTTTTTGGGGTCCCCCCTCACCTTGGTCAGGAGGTACCCCCTGAACTCAGTGTCCCGGGTCAGCCTGTGAGGGTTTTTGGGGGGTTTGGGGGTTTTTGGGGTGACAGGGGGTTTTTAGGGGGGTTTGGGGCGTTTTTGGGGTGGTTTTGGGGGTTTTGGGGTCCCCCTCACCTTGGGTAGGAGGTACCCCTGAACTCCGTGTCCCAGGTCAGCCTGTGGGGGCTTTTGGGGTGGGTTTTGGGGGGTTTGGGGTCACAGGGGGTTTTTAAGGGGGTTTGGTGGTTTTTATGGTGGTTTTGGGGGTTTTAGGGGTCCCCCCTCACCTTGGGCAGGAGGTACCCCCTGAACTCGGTGTCCCTGGTCAGCCTGTGGGGCACGTTCATGGGGATGAGGTCGCTGCACCGCTGGATCTCGTGGATCGTGGCGTCCGTGAGCGGCATCAGAGCCCGGTCTGACAGCGCCGGGGGGCGGGAGGGGCCCACGACCCTCAGGATCTCCTCGTACACCTGGGCTGGGGGGAAAATGGGGTGGGGGTCTTTGGGGTGTCCAGGACCCCTCAGGATCTCATCCTGAACCTGGGCTGGTGGGGGTAAAAGGGGGGTCTTGGGGTCCCAGGGCTTGGATGGGACCCTCCCCACCCTCAGGGTCTCATCCTGAACTTGGGCTGGGGGTAAAAGGGGGGCCTTTGGGGGTGTCCAAGGACCCCTCAGGATCTCCTCGTACACCTGGGCTGGGGGGGGAAAAATGGGGTAGGGGGTCTTTGGGGGTGTCCAAGGACCCCTCAGGGTCTCATCCTGAACTTTGACTGGGGGGGGGGAAAGGGGAAGGGTCTTAGGGGGTCTCAGGGTCCTTTTGGGGGTCTCTCAGGGTCATTTTTGGGGTCTCAGAGTCATTTTTGGGGTCTCAGGGCCATTTTTGGGGTTCTCAGGGTCATTTTTGGGGTCTCAGGGTCATTTTTGGAGTCTCAGGGCCATTTTTGGGGTCTCAGGGTCATTTTTGGGTTCTCAGGTTCCCATTTGGGGTATCAGGGTCATTTTTGGGGTCTCAGGGTCATTTTTGGGGCCTCAGGGTTCATTTTGGGGGTCTCAGGGTCATTTTTGGGGGTCTCAGGTCCCCATTTGGGAGTCTCAAGTTCCCATTTTGAGGTCTCAGGGTCATTTTGGGGGTCTCAGGGTCATTTTTGGGGGTTTCAGGGTGGTTTTTGGGGTGCCAGGCTCACCCTCCAGCTGGGGGTGCCTCATGAGGAAGAGGAGGCCGAAGCGCAGGGTGGACGAGACGGTCTCGGTGCCGGCGAAGAAGAGGTTGAGCGTGGTGAGCTCCAGGTTCTCCAGCGTGAACTCCGAGCTGGGATTGTCCTTCTCCTGGGGAAAGGGGGGGGAAAGGGAATGGGGGATCCATCTGGGAGCACCCACGGGGGGGAAGAGCCATCCAGGGGCGGATCCATCCAGGACCACCCATCCCCCCAGGATCCCACTCAGTATCCCAGGAGCACCCCCAGGGTCCCAGGATTACCCCCAGCATCCCAGGATCCCCCCCAGGATCCCACCCAGCATCCCAGGAGCACCCTCAGGATCACAGGATCCCACTCAGTATCCCAGGATCCCCCCAGGATCCCACCCAGCATCTGAGGAGCACCCCCCAAAAGCACCCTCAGGATCTCCCCCTGGACCCCCCTCCAGGGATTTATCCAGGACCCCCCCCTGCATCCCAGGATCACCCCAAGGATCCCAGGATCCCAAGAGCACCCCCAGGATCCCACTCAGGATCCCAGGATCACCCCCAGGATCACCCCCCAGGACCTCCCCTGGACTCCCCCAGGGATTCATCCAGAACCCTCCCCAGCATCCCAGGATCACCCCCAGGATCCCAGGATCCCACTCAGCATCCCAGGATCACCCCCAGGATCCCAGGATCACCCCCAGGATCCCAGGATCCCACTCAGCATCCCAGGATCACCCCCAGGATCCCAGGATCACTCCCAGGATCCCACCCAGCATCCCAGGATCACCCCCAGGATCCCAAGAGCACCCCTAGGATCCCACCCAGGATCCCAAGAGCACCCCCAGGATCCCCCCCCAGCATCCCAGGAGCACCCCCAGGACCTCCCCTTGGATGATCCCCCCAGGGATCCATCCAGGACCCCCCCTCGGAATCCCAGGATCACCCCCAGGATCCCACCCAGGATCCCAAGAGCACCCCCAGCATCCCAAGAGCACCCCCAGGATCCCAGGATCCCACCCAGCATCCCAGGATCACCCCCAGGATCCCAAGAGCACCCCCAGGATCACCCCCAGGACCTCCCCTTGGATGATCCCCCCAGGACTCCCCCCAGGACCCCCACCCCCGGGGTCTCCCACCTTGTCCATCTGGATGAGGAAGCAGTCGATGAAGTCGCGGGGGTTCTGTGGGTCGAGGCTCCGGGCGTTGCTCCGGACCCTGCGGGCGATGAATTCCCTCATCCGGCCCAGCAGCTTCGGGATGCGCCGGTGGGGGCCGGGCAGGAAGCGCAGCAGCGGCTCGGCCATGTCATAAAGCTGGGGGGGAGGGGGATTGGGGGGGTCAGCACCCCAAAAACAACCTGAAAACACCCCAAAAACACCCTAAAAATGTCACCAAAACCGGCCTCAAAACCACCCCAAAAACACCCTAAAAACACCCCAAAACCGGCTCCAAAACCACCCTAAAAACACCCCAAAACACCCTAAAAACACCCCAAAACCACTCCAAAAACACCCTAAAAACACCCTAAAACCACCCCAAAAACACTCCCAAAACACCCTCAAAACACCCCAAAAACACGCTAAAAACACCCCAAAAACACGCTAAAAACACCCCAAAAACACGCTAAAAACACCCTAAAAACACCCTAAAACCACCTCAAAACCGGCCCCAAAAACACCCTAAAAACACCCCGAAAACACCCCCAAACCACCCCCAGCAGCGGCTCAGCTGTGTTGTACAGTTGGGGGGAGGGGGATTGGGGGGGGTCAGCACCCTGAAAACCACCCCAAAAACACCCTAAAAACACCCCAGAAACAACGTAAAAACACCCCAAAAACACCCTAAAAACACCCTAAAAACACCCCAAAACCAGCCCCAAAAACACCCTTAAAACACCCCAAAACCACCCTTAAAACATCCTAAAAACACCCCAAAACCACCCCCAAAAACACCCTAAAAACACCCCCAAGAAACCCCTATAAACACCCCCAAGAAACCCCTATAAACACCCCAAAGCCACCCTAAAACCACCCTAAAACCACCCTAAAACCACCCTAAAACCACCCTAAAAACACCCCAAAACCAGCCCCAAAAACACCCTAAAACTCCCCAAAAACACCCTTAAAACATCCTAAAAACACCCCAAAACCGGCCCCAAAAACACCCTAAAAACACCCACGAAAAAAACCTAAAAACACCCTAAAAACACCCCAAAACACGCCAAAAACACCCCAAAACCGTCCCCAAAAACACCCCAGAAACAGCCTTAAAACATCCCAAAAACACCTGAAAAACACCCCCAAAAATACTCCCAGCAGCGGCTCGGCCGTGTCGTACAGCTGGGGGGGGGATTTGGGGGGGTCCAGCACCCTGAAAACACCCAAAAAATGGCCCCAAAACCACCCCAAAACTGACCCCAAACAGCTACAAAAACAGCCTTAAAACACCCCAAGACCACCCCAAAACCACCCTAAAACCACCCTAAAAACACCCCCAAAACACCCTAAAAACACCCCCAAAACCAACCCCAGTAGCGGCTCGGCTGTGTCATACAGCTGGGGGGAGGGGGATTGGGGGGGGTCAGCACCCCGAAAACACCCCAAAACCACCCTAAAAATGTCACCAAAACCACCTCAAAACTGGCCCCAAACAGCTCCAGAAACAATGTAAAACCACCCCAAAAACACCCCAAGACCACCCTCAAAACAACCTAAACCCACCCCAAAACCGGCCCCAAAAACACCCTCAAAACACCCCAAAAACACCCCAAAAACACCCTAAAACCAACCTAAACCCACCCCAAAACCGGCCCCAAAAACATCCCGAAAACACCCCAAAACCACCCCAAAACCGGCCCTAAAAACACCCCAGAAACAGCCTTAAAACACCCTAAAAACACCCTAAAAACACCCTAAAAACATGCCAAAAACACCCTAAAAACACCCCAAAAACACCCCAAAAACACCCCCAGCAGCAGCTCGGTCGTGTCGTCAGCTGGGGGCAGGGGGATTGGGGGGGGTCAGCACCCTGAAAACGGCCCCAAAAACACCCTAAAAACACCCTAAAACCGACCCCAAAAACACCCTAAAAACACACCAAAACTGACCCCATAAAGACCCTAAAAATACCCTAAAAACACCCCAAAAATGCCCCCAAACCACCCCCAGCAGCGGCTCGGCCATGTCATAAAGCTGGGGGAGGGGCGTTGGGGGGGGTGAGCACCCCGAAAACACCCTAAAAACACCCCAAAAATGACCCCAAACAGCTCCAGAAACAGCCGAAAAACACCCTAAAAACACCTCAAAAACACCCTAAAAACAGCCCCCAAAACATCCTAAAAACACCCTGAAAATGGTCCCAAAACAGCTCCAGAAACAGTCAAAAAACAGTCCCAAGAACAGTCCCCAAACA